GAGCTCTTATGGGGTTCTACTCTACAAACCATCCTGAGGGGCAATGCTTAGTTTTCAGTGCATTTATTTTGGCACAAAGATAAATGGCCATAGAATTCAACCATCAAGCAATAGAACAGAGGAGAGATTCATCTCCCTTCACAGACTCCAGTTTGACCCAAGTGGGAGATGCAGAATGAATAGGCAATAGAAAATCCAGTCTCTACCATCAGACCAGGACTGCATGGAGGACTGTGGAGCTGCATACAAGCTCTTCTGTGGGCTTCCCTTCATGAATGCATGGAGTTTGTGTCCAAGCTCTGGAGTTTACAAAAACTTTAGTAGCTGCCACTGTATTTCATAAGCTGCCAAGGAGCTGTCCTTCCTCAAAGAGTCTGGAGACAAGGAAGGAGACAGGAGGAGACTGAGGATGGGTGAACCTGATGAAGATGAACCACGAGGATCAACCACCTCCTATCATGCCTGGCGACCAGCAGTTATTGAACCTGGGAGAGGCAGAAAACAGAGGGGTGAGTCTGTTATCATTGTATTGAGTGGGTTTTATGGAACTGATCTCTCATCTTGACCACTGCCTATTAATATTACTCCCTGATCAGAGTTTATTGATTAATAATAACATATTGATGATTATGAGCTATTTGGTATTCATATTGATTTTAATAACTGATTGTTCATTATCAAGTCATCATCATTAACTGTAAATTATAAGTGACACTGTTAATGATTCTTGTGATTTACCATTGCCCCGTCAACACTGATGCTTGCTCATTAATTAGGTATCACTGATCATTGTTTCTCAATAGGAGATAAATCTTGACTAAATGGTGATTAATGATAAATGTCATTCATTGATTATTGCTTATGGTATGTGGAAAGCCAATGGCTGTGCGTGTCGTGATGACCTAGTAATCAGGTGGAGGGCTGATAATTAAGTACTGATGGCTTCCTATGGATGGTTGATGGTGAAGAACCAACTGTTCATCACTGAATATCGATGGATCAGCATGGGGTACAGATCACTGGATCTTGATGCTGAATTTTAATACCTTAAACACTGTGACTCCGGCACCATAGAAGAGGCTGAGAAGGAAGAGAGAGATGAAGGCAATGGTTGTCCAGAAATGGTCAAGATCTTCTTCTCCTCTTTCAACATAAACTCCTTGGTTCAAAACCCCAAATAGGAGATCTGGGGACAAGATAAATAAGCCAGTTAGAGAGTCCTCTTCTTTATCCCCTTGGGATCCCATGGGTGTTCATGCCAAGGCTACTGAGAAAACACCAGACTCCAATACTCTATATTTCTCTAAAGATCCCTGTCCAATATAAACCCCTTCACCTTAAAATATTGCCAACCCAACTATGACCCAGACTAGGAAATGGGGTGCCCCCTCCTCCCAACCAAGTAATTCAGTCAAGTCATGCACATCGAACAACTGGAAATACCTTCCACGTCACCACTAGTGTGAGCCACTCAGAGACCAGAAAGCCGAACTAAGATCTCTTCCCTCTACTCCTTTCACACCTCTAGCATGCCCAGCCCCAGGAACTCCTGTCAGAAATGGGTAAAAACAGGAGGTGGGTAAGAACTGTCCATGAATAAATGTAGGCTGAATATCTGAGGAAGGTTTCTAACCAGCAAAGAGTGAAGCTCTGGAATGGCCTCCCAACAAGAGTATAGAAGCAGAAAAATTAATTGCCTATCACATGAAGCTTGCTAGGGGTACAAAGGGCATTGCATGACCTAGCTGGCACAGGAGGGACTGGAAGGAGGTCTCTTCTGCTCCTGTAGTCTATATTTCTGTATTTTTCTGGCATGGGCACTAGTCTCTTGGGAGCTGAGCTGGCAGTTCTTCATTTACCTAACCCATAACACATGCAGAGCCATTGAATACTCCCCTGAAGGGCAAAATGAGGTCCCAGATGACTGAAAAAAGTAAATACAGTGCCCATCTCAAAGAAAGAGGATTTGCAGAATTACAGACCAGGCAATCTGATGTCAATACCTGGAAAGACTATTGAGCATGGCATAAAGGAATCCATTTCTAAGCACCAAGAGGATAACAGGGTGATTGGGTAAAGCCAAAATGGATTAGTCAAGAGCAATCCAATCTTAATGAACCTGATTTCCTTCTTCAGCAAGGTGGCTGCCTTCATGGATGGGAGGAAAACAACGGATATTCAAAACCTTGATTTTAGCAAGGCTTTTACCCTGTTGACCATGACATTCTCACTAGTAAGCAGTGGAAATGGAGTCTAGATGAAAGTACTATAAAAGGTGGATATATAATTGGTTGGATTATGGTACTCAAGGTGCCGTCATCAATGTCTAACTGGAAAGAAATATCAAACAGATTCTCTAGGGGCCTGTCAGGAGTCTGGTGCTGTTCAATATCTTAACTAACAATTTGGAAGATGAAATTGAGTGCACAACTGATAAATTTGCAGATCAACTGACACTGAGTGAAATTCTAGACACTTTGGAAAATAGAAGTGGAAGTCAGAATGACCTTGATAAATGAGAAAAAATGGTCCAAAAATTAATTAAAAGAAATTCAGTCAAGACAAGTACAAAGTCCCTTCATTTAGGATGAAACAATCAAATGCACAAATACAGGTTTGGGAATGGATGGCTTGGCTGAAGTACAGAAGAAAAGGACCTGGGAATTATAGGGGACTGCAAGCTTTATGTGAGTCTACATTGTGTTCTTGTTGCCAAAAAAAAACCAATAGTACATTGAGTTGTGTTAACAAAGGTGTCACTTGCAAGTCAAAGGAAGTGAATCTTCCACTCTCTTCAGTACTGCTGAGTCTTTGCCTGAAGTGATGTGTCCCATTTAGAGCACCATACTACAAGAAAACCATGGGCAAAATAAAAGAGTAGAGTGAAGAGCACCAATAATGATTTGAGATCTAGGAAATATGACTTATGAGGAGAGGGTCAGAAAACTGGGATAATTTCATTTGGAAAAGAGAACTGAAGAAAAATTAGATACCAGTCTTAAAATACTTGAAGAGTGTTTCCAAAGGGGTTGATGATAGTCTGTTCTCTGTGACAACAGGAAACAGGACAAGAAGTAATGTTCTTAAATTCCAACAAGGGAAGTTTACTTTGGAGATTTAGGAAAAAACTCTCTCACTATGAGCATGGTTAAGTAGGGGAACAGACCACCTAGAGAGGTTGTGGAATCTCATCCTTGGCAGTTCTTAAGAGCAGGTTAAACAAACACTGGTATAAGATGGTTTACACAAGGATGATCCTGCCTTGAGCAGGGGTTTAGGCTAGATGTGGCCTCCTAAGGTCTATTCTGGCCCTATTTTTCTATGATTCTATGGCACTGCCCAATAGGAGAATCTTTCACTTGCTATCAGTGTGGGTTGCCTTAGGAATCAATCTGTGAGATCCATCAGCTTCCATGCTACATCATTCCCTGTGTCATACATGTGTGATATGGACCAGGCTTTATCCCCACTGGAAAATGGCATTAGAGCCCCTCAAATTCAGATCCCACGTAGCACCGCTCAAAGGACT